TGTGTGGTTCCGTGACTGTGTTTTAGGGTTTCGTTAATTGCAAGAATCGGCATATGCAGAAAATAAGTACAGTAAAACTTCTATAAATTAATAAACAGTATATATTAATAAATTCTTTTTTCTAAATTAGTTTTTCAGTGTAAAAATGAATAAAATTTGATAAGATAAAAAAAATAGTTATATCATTTTCAACCAAAAGTTACACTACTATGAAAACGTATACTTCTATTTGAATTTAATTTAATATTATATTCAAAATATATATATATATATATATAAAGATAATATAGTTGTAGTGTTTTCTTTAAATGAATTTCTGTTAGATTCCACCATTAACTTTTCTTATAAAAAAATGTTATGTTGTGTATTAAATTATCTTATTGTTGTATCGTTTTATTGGTGTATTGTTGTAGCCAAAATTTCTATGTAAGTTTTAAAAATTTGAATCAGAATTTTCATTTTAATAATCGTGCTTATGTAAACTGTTCAAATACAATAATTGAGGTTATTATTAATAAAATTTAATTTATAATCATCTTTTGTATATAGGAATTCATCTATAATTTTTGGTATTTTTTGTCAAAAAAAATTGTTTTTCTTTTTAAATATAAAATGTTCAAGTCTACATCTACAAAATTTATAATATCCAAAACATTTATTTTATTTAGATTATATTGTTTTAACTCATTTAAAAAAAATTAACAATTAAAACAAAAACTCGCTATAAATTAATAATTCTAACATTACTAGTATTAGTTTATACCTTTTTATTGATTAATGTTAATAATTTCTAAATATTAACATTAATCAATAAAAGGTGAGGGTGCACCTAGCGCCTAGGAAGAAAATCGGGGATTACACGGGGATTAATCGGGGATTAGTTTTAGGGCTATTTAATATTTTAAAAACATATTAATCCATTATAATTAAGAAATTTATATAATATTGTTTTTAAAATTGTATTAAACACATGAAAACAAGATTTTAATTTCAAATTTATGATTTTTATACAAATTACGAACATAAGTAGGACGTTTTGAATTTTAGATGAAAAAAAAAAAGTAAAAAAAAAAAAAAAAAAAAAAAAAAATTGGGCTAGGCGCCGTCTAGGCGGTCCAGGCGGACAAAAAATCGGATCTCCGATTTTTCTCACCGATTTGGACAAAATCGCCGCGGTGCTCCTCCGATCAGCGCCTAGGCGGCCGCCTAGGCGGCTAGGCGGCCGATTTTTAGAACAGGGCTACTACTCATTAATTTGGTTGATTTTTACGATATATATCCGCACGCAAAACCAAAAATGTCTACAATATTTTGTTACCAAGCAGCAGACAAGCCACATGCGAGTTCTTAATTATGCTATAAATGCATCTCATTACTCATTTTATAATACTCATAACTCCTCCATTATCTTCAAAAATATACTAACGCCTGTCCTACTACGCAATAACTTTGAAGATAAACTTTGACAGCAATTTCAAGATAAATAATTTTCTTTTTCTAAAATTTTATAATTATGCTTACTCTATTTCTAATCAATCTAAAATTTAAGTTTGTCTAGAGCATTTGTATTGATAGAAACTCTATAAATCTTTCAAATATATTATTTTAATATTTTTAATACAATATAATTATTATTTAAAATTAAAAATTAGAAAGAAAAAAAAATCAATCAATTTTGACATGTATAAAAAAAAGTTTCTAAAAGGGATCTCAAATAAGAACTAATTCTTCTTTCTCTTTTTTTTTTACATCTTTAGATCGACAAGACGCGATTCATAGTTAATCCTTACTACGCAGGGTAACGCGACTTCATAGAGTCGAACTCCGGTGGGAAAAGTGGAGTCAAATGGACTTAACCACTTGACAAAAGACACTTCTTTTAATCGATTCTCCTCTCTCTCTCAACTCTTTTTATTTCTTTTCAAATATTATTGAAAGACTTGGTGAGAGACTCTCACTACATGCTCTTACACATACTCTTTTTGTTTCACAAAGACACAAAAAATGTCGTTTAAGGTAATATTTTTATTTTACAAAGAGTATCGTTTTGTGTTTTCAGTGCAAGACTTTTAAATCAAATCTCACTTTTATCCCTATTTTTACAAATTTTAATTAGAAATAAAACTATTTTAGTGTATTAACAAAGTGTAAAAGAGAATTCAGATTTTTTTAAAATTTTTTGTGAAAATGGTAGAATGACACTCTCTGTGAAACAAATAAAGTATTAGAAACAAAATTAATTATAAATACATTAGTTTGTGTTGTGGTTAACAATTTTTTATAACTCCAAACGGATAACACATAATTATTTTTTTCAAGTTTACAATTTAACATCGTAAACGAATAAAAATTCATAGAAAATTTAAAAATAAAACTTGAATTAATTAGAAATAGAGGAAGTATCTTTCAATAAATGATGTTTAGATATAATGAATATAAATTACAAAAGTCATATAATATCCATCTTATATTAATGATTGAAACAGTAATCTCAAAAGTTTTGCATAATAAATTTAAATCATGTCTTAAAATGAAATAATACCTTTTTGACTAAAATATCTTTTTATATGAAACATGAAAAATACTACTTTCGGCTAATTATAATTATATATACACACTAAAAACAATTAGCATTAAAATAATATTGGTGTTATCAATTATGCTAACAGAGTTGGGAAAAAAGATCTTATTCCTTTAATTAACACATATATAGTTATAAGAGATTATGGTTAATCACAATATACATACTAGCTCTAAATTATCCTTAATACTCCTCATCAAGTTGGAGTAGGAAAGTTACAAATGTCTAACTTGACTAATAACATACGAAATTGAACAATAAAACAGCTAGTTGTTCTTTTGTGTGAATACATCGCTTTGATGATCCCGTCTTTGACAGTATCACAAACAAAATGATAGTCATTTTCGATGTATTTCGTGCGTTCATGAAACATTGGATTTTAAGCAATATGCATAGCCGATTAACTGATGCAAAACAAAGGAACAATCCGAACAAAGACCTACAGAGCACCATAGAATTCTAGAAGCGAACGAAACCACTTAATTTCTTTAGTTGCATCTCTCATCGAATAATATTCAGTTTCAGCTGATGATAACGAAAAGTATATTATTTCACTAGTGAACCACCAAGAATAAACACATAACCCATCAAAGAACACCGAGTAAACGGAAAATTTTGCCTAATTTGCATTACAATAACCATGTAGACGGAGAATAACTCTGACGCTAAAGAAAGTACCTTGAAAAACAACACCTTTTAAATACCAAACAACACAAAGTGCAACTTCCCATTGAAAAACAATAAGAGACTACACAAACTGAGAAAGAATGTGAACATCATAGGATAATTCGGGATGTGCAATGGTAAGATAAATCAACCGTTCAACAATACGACGGTATTGCTTGGGATCGGAATAAAGACCATCATCGACCGAAGCAAGGTAATGATTGTGTTCAAGTGGAGTTCCGGTGAACGTGCACCAAGTAAACCACATTTATTGATAATATCAAGACAATACTTTCGCTGACAAATAAAGATACATTATGGATTTGCTCGTCCAAACGAATCACCATGCCCCCTACCTCCAGAAACATCACCAACGTTTCCACGTCCTCTACCTATGCCTCGATCTCCATCTTGAGAAGTTTCAGGGAAACCATGAAATTGATAACAAGAAGTTATGCCATACCCTATTTTACAGTAGTGAGAACAGAAATATGGACGAGTTCGACCCATTGAAGTTTATGCTTGAGCCAAGAATCCAACAACATCTGAAAAACTTTCAGAGGCTCGTGTGACCCGTTTATGCCTTTACTCTTGAAGATTTGATGTAAAAATCAATAACAAAATTGATTCGTAGCTGACTGATACAAGAGGTGATACATGTGAAGACATACCATCTGACAGACTAGCTGACGAACCAGATGGCGGATTGGTTGACGCACCTTTAATACCAAGCCAAATGGAGCTAATCAAGTACTTGGAAGGTCTAAGATTCACTATTCATCAACAATATGCCTATTTTTGAAACATTGATTGAGCCCTTTTTGAAGACCAACGTGTAGAATAAGAAGTGACTCAATGAACAGAGCAAAAAGTGATTCAACGAGTAAATTAAGAAGTGACTCAACACATATCACATTTGCCATTTTTGGATCCGAGTGCCTTTAATCCCAAAGATTATATTCTCCTCAGCTTGTGCGCACTCCAAGCTTCATAATATGAACTTGGATGTCCCAAAATCACATCACTTCTAGTCCAAGTTGTCAAGACTCAAAGCACATCATAACTTTTCTAATTTATCTGATTTTCTCATTCAATTTCCAATGGTCTTATTTTTATTTATTGTTGTGATTTTTTTTTTTCATTTTCCTAGCTTATTAATGTTTTTCTAAGAGTTTATACAAGCTCTTTCTAATCTTATTGTATAAAACTTGGTTGTTACAAAATAAACAAGTATTTTCTTCAAAGAGTTCTATGCATTAAACAAGTCTTTGAGTTCTATGCATTAAACAAGTGGAATGACATAATATGGATCGATCAATGATCCAATGATAAATAATTGCGGTTGAAAGACATACACTAGCTAACCCAAATTATATATTCTTTATCCTTTTCTTTTTGTTTCCATATCATAATGTTATCTTATGAGTTATAATGACTCATCTTAGTAATAAATACAATACTAATAGTATACTTTAACCAACATTGAAACTTACGTCTGGGGCCGGCTACATTTTATAAACCTTTCTTATTTTTTTTTTGCATTTTTTCGTAATTATAAAGATAAAGAATAATACTTCAATGAAGATTGATCAATACTTCAATCTACTCACTTTGTGATTAAATGACAATTTATCAATATTTATAATTTGGGTTTTTCTTTTTCGACGTCAAAACTCTCAATAGGGTCCAAAAACTTAGGGCTTCTCTATACTCTTTTTCCTATAAATTCACTCAATCTCCACACACTCTCTACCATCACCTATCTTACAAAAATGGAGTTCTCAAACTCTTTGCTCTCTCTCTTACTCTTTTCACTATATGTTTCTCCTCTCTCTGCTCTTGTTTCAGCTCATACCAATAACCACGAAGACTTTCTTAAGTGTCTTTCTCACAGGATAAACGACAACACCGTCGAATCCAAAGTCATACACACTTCCAAAGACTCTTCCTTTTTTTCCATCTTGGATTCTTCCATCCAAAACCCAAGATTCTCTGTTCCTGAAACACCTAAACCGGTCTCAATCATCACCCCGGTTAAAGCCAGTGACGTTCAAACCGTGATCAGATGCGCACGGCTGCATGGTATCCATGTAAGGACTCGCAGTGCCGGTCACGGCTGGGAAGGTCAATCTTACATCGCGTACAACAAACCATTCGTCGTCATAGATCTTAGGAATCTTCGGTCTATATCATTAGATGTCGAAAACCAAACTGGTTGGGTCCAAACCGGAGCAACAACTGGAGAGTTATACTTTGAGATTGGGAAAGCCACCAAATCTCTTGCTTTCCCAGCCAGTATTCTCCACACCGTCGGCGTCGGTGGACAGTTTAGCGGCGGAGGTTATGGCACGTTGATGAGAAAGTACGGTTTAGCGGCTGACAACGTAATCGATGCACTTGTGGTTGACGCGCGTGGAAGGATTCTTGACCGACAAGCAATGGGTGAGGATTACTTTTGGGCGATTCGTGGAGGCGGCGGATCGAGCTTTGGTGTTGTACTATCATGGAAGATTAAGTTAGTTGATGTTCCGTCCACGGTAACCGTGTTTAAAGTCCAGAAAACATCGGAGAAAGAGGCTGTTGGGATCATCAACAAGTGGCAGTATGTTGCGGATAAGGTTGCTAATGATCTTTTCATCACCGCAACGTTGGAGAGATCGAATGAAAACTTGGTGCACGCTTTGTTTACTGGACTTTATCTTGGTCCGGCGAACGATCTGTTGGCCTTGATGGAAGAAAAGTTTCCGGAATTAAATCTTGAGATGGAAGATTGCACAGAGATGAGTTGGATTGAGTCTGTACTCTGGTTTGCTGATTTCCCAAAAGGAGAGTCGCTTGGTGTTCTCGCGAATCGGAAGCGTACATCTCTGTCTTTCAAGGGTAAAGATGATTATGTCCAAGAACCGATACCCGAGGCTGCAATTAAAGAGCTATGGAGGCGATTAGAGGCGCCTGAGGCTCGGCTTGCAAAGGTCGTATTGACTCCATATGGTGGGAAAATGAGTGAAATCGCAGAGCATGAAACACCGTTCCCACATCGAGAAGGGAATCTCTATGAGATTCGGTATTTGGCTTTCTGGAGAGAAGAGGAAAACAAGAACAAGATGGAAACAGAGAAGTATCTGAAATGGGTTGAGAGCGTTTACAATCTTATGACTCCTTATGTTTCGAAATCTCCAAGAGGAGCTTATGTCAATTTCATGGATCATGATTTGGGAACGTATCTTGGAAAGGAGGAGACAAAGTACGAGGAAGGAAAGAGTTGGGGAGTGAAGTATTTCAAGAACAATTTCGAGAGATTGGTGAGGGTGAAAACGAGTGTTGATCCAACAGATTTCTTCTGCGATGAACAGAGCATTCCGATACTCAAATCCGTTGACGACATCTAAAACTATCCTTTGAAGTTTTATCTACGAGTCCTTTTCACTATGAAATCATCTGTTTTTGTTTGAATAGTTATGCTCCAAGTGTGTAACTTATCTCTGTTATTGTGATATATTTGCGTTGAATAAAAGATTTCATGGTTTAAGTGTTTAACTAAAAGCAGTTTCTTCAAGAGCAAGCAAGTTTAATTAGGTCAAGAAATCAATCTCGAAACCCATTATCTAAGTCAGGATCTGCCTATAAAGCATATGCTTTTAAATAAGCCCATATTTTGAAGTGTATGATGTTTTAAATTGAGACTCATAGATAAAAAAGTTGCAACAAATATTTCAGAGTATTTGTAGATAAACTCTAATCTTATGATACAGTTATAACTTTGAAAACCCAATTTTTTATAATAAGATAAGAGTGGAATCTAAAAATTTTATAATCTTTAAAATCAATCTACGAATACTTAATCATATAAAGTGATGTAACCTCATGAAATCATTGAAGAGGAATATGAGCCACGTAACAGAATCATGAGAGGATCACACAACACAACATAAGAAACAGACACAACATAAAAAGAAGCTTAAAGCATTGCCACTTGATATAAAAAAAAAAAACAAAATAAATTTCTTCAAACACATGTGTATATGAATTTATGACTCCTTATGTTTCAAAATCTCCAAGAAGAGCTTATGTTAACTTTAGAGACATTGATTTGGGAATGTATCTTGGGATGAACATGAAGACAAAGTACGAGGAAGCAAAGATTTGGGGAGTGAAGTATTTCAAGAACAATTTCGATAGATTGGTGAGAGTTAAAACAAATGTTGATCCAATGGATTTCTTTTGTGATGAACAGAGTATTCCAATTATGAAATCTGTTAATGATATTTGAAATTTTCAAATTTGTTTCCTTTGCATAATTAATGGGCTTTTCTCTCTCTTTGTCTTGGGCTTTATATCGTAATACCGAAACTTTTATTTACCCAAAAAGGGATTTCACTCACCCAATTATCTCAAAAAACTATAAGGCATCGTAACTCTCGCCATAAATGCATCCCATAACTCATTTTGTCTCCTACACTGCTCCTCCATTATCTTTTTAGAAAAAAAAAATCGCTATACTAACTTCACGAGTAGGTGACCATTTTTTCTCGACATCTCCTCTCGAGGGTAACCCTAGCCACCGACACTTTTGATAACCCAGAAAACTTGTTTTCCGATCTCCCTCTCCGGTGAGCGGCGCTCCTCGCCGTCACTGTGAGAGGGGCTGTATTGCTCCGTTGTTCTTTGTCTGTTTGTAATCTTGCGTCGCCTCGGCTTCTTCTGGTGGATCGGTGGTGAGGTTAGCTTCTCAGCGGTAGACGGTCTTCACGGTGATGCTAGTTTCGGTGGTCTTCCAGCGCTGTTCGTCCTCCCTCAGCGGTTTCTAGAGAAGTTTTCTTCTCTCTTGTTCAGATCCGGCTTTGTCTTTGTCTCTTTGGTAAAGTTTTTCGGTTCTGTTTCCCTGAGATTTTGTGTGTTTATTGGTTGGGTAAGCTTTCTTCTTGCTCTTCCTCCTTTGAGTACCTGAGGCTAGTTTGTTTAGGTTTGAGTGAGTATTTCTGGCAGGCGTTTGGGGATTCTTTGGAATTGCTTCAAGTTTGATTTGGTGATTTGCGGATTCGGTTGGAGCGGCTTTGTCTATGGGATTTGTGGCTTTTGCGAAACTGTTGGCTCCGGATGTATAGGATCTACGGTGCTGCTCTTAGAATTATGCCTTTGTTTTTGCTTGTTCCGTCCCTGGCCTAGTCGTTTTTGCGTTGTTAGTCTCTATGCCGTTTGTTGAGTGATGTTTGGGTTATAGTCAGGTTCTATCCAGACTCTGCTCTTCTATCCGCTCCTGGTCGACTCGTCTCAACCATTGAATTCTTTTGGGTTCGTCACCTTGCTAAGAAGAAGTTTCTTTTGTTTGTTTTGGATTGATAGACCTTTATGATTGCAGATGCTTCTTCTCCCTGGTGTTGTTCGTTGTGTTTGACAACCGTCTCGATCCATCGTCGTTCTCGTTCTTGAGATTGGTGATTTTTGAGAGGTTGGGCCTCACTCCTTGTCCTGCTTTCCTGAATCTGTTTAGATAGGATTGCCTTTTGAAGATTTCTAGTTAGACTTTGTTGGGCGTAGCAGTCGTCGTAGTCGTATTCGGAAGCGTGCTCGAGGTTCTCTCAACTCATTGGTTTTGCTTGCCGGGTTCTGAAATCTTTGGTTCTTGGTTTCGAGAGATCAGCTCTCATCGTGATAGGAGAAGGTAGATGTTATTTTAGGATTGGCCGCGGGCATCCTAGGTAAATCTCATTCGCAGGTGCTTCAGAAGAAGTGGTTTCCTTGTATTCTTTTGTCTATTGGTTTTCTTAAGGTTTTTGCCTTGTGCTTCTGTCTTAGTTTATGGTTTCGTTCTCTTGCGATGTCGGGTTGCTATATTTGCTTTGTATATCCAATGTTTTAAGTTCGCCTAGTTTCCGGGGACATTTATGTCGTCCGCCGGCTTATGTTTCCCTCTTTTGGGCTTTAGTTTCCGGGGATATTCAGTATTTCCGCCGGCGTATGTAATCTCAAAATGTATCTTTCTATGTTTTTATATATAAAATCAGATGACAAAAAAAAAAAAAAAAACTTCACGAGTAAAATTCATGGTTAATTTGATGTACAATAGAAATGAAAAAAGGAGAGTTATGCATTCGTGGTTAAAAACCATCTTTAAATCATTTCTAGTAACATATATATGTATATATATATATATATATATATATATATATATTGTTAGAAGATTTTAAATATTATAAATAAGTATCCATTGGGCTCATTGGTGGAGCTAGAAAAAAAATTTATCGGGTTCAAAATATAAATTTTATATAAATAACAAGAAGTGAGTTTTAAACAATTGACAATGGGTTCAACTGTGGGAAAGCACGCCCCATGATCAATGGGGATCAAGATCCTTGCTCAGCAAGATATTAAATTTTTTGTCTTCCTATGTTTCCGTATCATATTTGAATCAACGTTATTTATTGAAAATATTCTATACTGAAAATTTTGTGACCAAAATTGAGCCATGGTTGGTTCGGGGTGTATTTTTGCAATGATCCTTTTGTCCACTGAGTTTCTCCTTTATCTTTGAATTGCAAACAGTGTACCATGGTTTTCGAGGGATGCCTTCGAATCCATCTTCTGCTCCTTTTTAAGGAGATCCAAGAGGTATGCAGCAAGTTCTCGTATGGCATTATCTCCTTTTATCCAACCATAATGCTCTTCATGGATTTTTTTATCTACCGGTTTGAACACCGCAACCATTTTCTTGTTGTCGTCCATTAAGTAATAGGCTCCGTTAGTTGCAATATCAATTTTCTGCGCAATATATTTTTTCTTTAAATCCATGTTCGCCGCTAGAACCATATCCCGTGCCTTTGGGACATGAACTTGAACATCCTCTACTACAATATTTTCATATCAAAAACCCTCCATTGGTTACCTAAAATCAAGTTGATCCATAACAAACAAAAAATAAAGAAATCTTAGAGACGATAGAGAAGGAAAGAAAGCTAGAATTAAAGAGACGGTATGATTTGCAATATAAATGAGATATGTGACTTGAAGAGATGCATAAAAGCAAAAGAATCAGACAAGAACCGTACTAAAACAGTACCAATTTCAGATCAACAACTTGGTTGATATATAGCAAGACGAGAAAATAGAGATAAACAATAAATAAAGACGATGCTTCAGAGGAATTTATTTTAGATAAAGGCATTCCTTGGGGTTTCACCTCTGTTATTTATTCAATGCGTACTGAAAAACCAAATTTAAAGAGAAGTGTTACATACCTAAACTAAAAAAAAAACATAAATGTGGACTACACATAATATACAAAGTTTTTTTTGCACAATTATAACACACATTCTACAAACCTCCAAAAATAGCATTTAGTTGTTGATACAATAACAATCGAGTCGCCTGACCTTTGTCATACCTAGTTGCAACTACGAACATACTTGGACTACTTTGTTTGTCGAATCTTTGGAAGAATATGAAGGATTGGTCACACATGCATTACCCGTCCCGTGATTTATTTTCTAAAAGTAGTAATTTAAAAAATTTAACGATTATTTATTATATATAAAAGTTTGCAAATTGTATTATTTTCTAAGACAGTTATAATTTTATATAGTTTACAATTGGTATTAAGTAACATTATACTACAGGACAATTTTTGGTTTTATACAATATTTTCTAAATGAGACTGATTTAATATGTTTAATATTGGTGGTATTAAAAAAAATTAAGTATTTAATCCGTATTGAATCGGCGGATTAATGATATTTTAATTTTTTATTATTATTATTTATTCAAAAACCTTTCCCGCCAAACCCATCCGGCCAATAAACACCCATTTATTTTATTAATGTTGATCTTATTTATGATATGATTGTGTAAATATTTTAGTAGATATGGAACGTTGAACACACATTTTTCCTCAATTGGATAATATATATTTGTTTTTAAAATTTCGAATCATAGTTATGCTTAAAAAAATTAATTTTTTTTACTTTATATATTATATGAAGATTCACAACAGTTAAAAACAAATCAAACAAAGATAATAGGAGAATCATAATTCTAAATCTTAATCAAATCTTCTAAATATCTAAATTATTAAATATGGAATATCCGGTGTATGAGTTGGGTTAATTATAATCCGATCCAACAAACTTTTTATGATCAAAATTTGTAAACAGGTCGGACACCCAATGTATCCAAATACATTTTGTCTCACCCACTAAAAATATACTTAAAAAATATTAGTATAGATTTTAGAGTATTTGTAGATAACTCTAATCTTATAATACACTTATAACGTTGAAAATCCAACTTTTATATAAGAGTGGAATCTAAAAATTTTATAATCTTTAAAATCAATTTACCAATACTTAATCATATTAAGTGATGTAACCTCATGAAATCATTGAAGAGGAATGTGAGCCACGTAACAGAATCCTCAGAGGACCACACAACACAACATAAGAAACACAACATAAAAAGAAGCTTAAAGCATTGCCACTTGATATAAAAAAACAAAAAAAATTTCTCCAAACACATCAAATTTATCTCCTTACCTTCTCTGCATTAACAAAATGAAGTTTTTGAGATTTTTGCTTTCTTTCTTTATAAAGTTTCTTCTATTGAATCATTCCCTTTCTCATTTTCCTTTGATTTCAGGTCAAAGGACTAACCACGAAGACTTTCTCAGGTGTCTCACTCACCGAATAAACGACGACGAATCAAGAATCATACACACATCAAAAGATCCTTCCTTTTTCTCAATCTTGAATTCTTCCATACAAAATCCAAGATTCTCTGTTCTTGAAACACCTAAACCGGTCTCAATCATCACTCCGGTTCAAGCCACCGATGTTCAATCTACGATTAGATGCGCACGGCTTCACGGTATCCACATCAGGACTAGGAGTGGTGGTCATGACTACGAGGGCTTTTCTTACATGGCCAAAAGTAGACCGTTCGTTGTCCTTGATTTGAGAAATCTCCGGTCTATAACATTAGATGTTGATAACCGGACCGGTTGGGTTCAATCCGGAGCTACAATTGGGGAATTGTACTACAAGATTGGGAAATTGAACAAATCTTTAGCCTTTCCGGCCGGTCTTTACCCAACGGTTGGCATCGGAGGGCAATTCGGAGGTGGAGGGTATGGAACGTTGATGAGAAAATACGGTTTATCGGCGGATAATGTAATTGACGCACATATTGTTGACGCGAATGGAAGCTTTCTTGACCGACAAGGCATGGGTGAGGATTTCTTTTGGGCTATTCGCGGAGGCGGAGGATCAAGTTTTTGTGTTGTTCTATCATGGAAGATTAGATTGCTCGATGTTCCATCGGTAGTAACGGTCTTTAACGTCGTGAAAACATCGGAAAAGGATGCTGTCTCGATCATCAACAAGTGGCAGTATATTGCGGATAAGGTTCCGAATGATCTTTTCATCAGAGCTATGTTGCAGAAGGAAACCGAGGTTTATGCTTCGTTTCCGGGACTCTATCTCGGTCCGGTAAGCGATCTATTAGCGTTAATGAAAGAGAAGTTTCCGGAATTAGGTCTTGAGATAAGAGATTGTAGAGAAATGAGTTGGATTGACTCTGTTCTCTGGTTTGTTAAAGAAGAATCAATGGAAACTCTTGCGAAACGAAAACGAACCTCGAGATCTTTCAAAGGAAAAGATGATTTTGTCGAAGAACCGATACCTAAACCCGCGATTCGGTATCTCTGGAAACGATTCGAGGCGCCAGAGGCTCGGCTTGCAAAGATCATACTCACTCCATTTGGTGGCAAAATGAATGAAATTGCGGAATATGAAACACCATTCCCACATAGAGAGGGGAATCTTTATGAGATTCAATATTTGGCTTATTGGAGTGAAGAAGAAGATAAGAACAAGACTAATACAGAGAAGTATTTGAGATGGGTGGAGAGTGTATACGAATTTATGACTCCTTATGTTTCGAAATCTCCAAGAAGAGCTTATGTTAACTTTAGAGACATTGATTTGGGAATGTATCTTGGTATGAATATGAAGACAAAGTACGAGGAAGCAAAGATTTGGGGAGTGAAGTATTTCAAGAACAATTTCGATAGATTGGTGAGAGTGAAAACAAATGTTGATCCAATGGATTTCTTTTGTGATGAACAGAGTATTCCAATTATGAACTCTGTTAATGATATTTGAAATTTTCAAATTTGTTTCCTTTGCATAATTAATGGGCTTTTTCTCTCTTTGAATTCTTAAATGGGTTTGGTAATTTTAGTTGAATTAAACTAAACAAACTAAAAGTAAACCGAAGTTTTTTGTAAACCGGTTTGTTCTGAATATTCATACCAGAGATGTCAAATCTTTTTTTTTTTTTTTTTTGGGATAAAAGAGATGTCAAATCTTGTTTGGACATGTCTAGTCTAAATCTGGTCCCAATATTATTAGGGTAATAAAGTACAAAAAAGTGAAATAATTGGAAATAATTAGCATGTCCCTTACTCCCACTAAAATGTCTCACAACAGGATTGTTGAGATGATTAATTTGGGAGAGAAGAAGATAATTTGCTATACATTTAGAACAAAACTATTTATATTTAATTTTGAAGCAAGATATAAAGTTTTACTAAAATTAATTTTATACCAAATATATAGAGTTTAGAGCATGATTTAAAGCACCAACGAAAATGTCCTTAGCGTTTCAACGATCTAGACGGCGACGCTAGGCAACATCCAAACATCCGATAATCACCAAATAATCTGAACAGAGCTATGTATTATTTCAGCTTATAGAAAAAGACATAAAGTGATATCCATGGAAATAATTGACATGTCCCACACAGGCACACCACACACGTTCCCATCCACAAATATGCTGATGACAAAAAATGAAATGCCCCACCTGTATTTTCAAAGTAATTATATTTATAAATTTGTTTTATTTCTTCAAATAATTGACATGTCTAATTAAGACCAAATTAGTTGAAAACGTTGCAATGGACTAATCGTAATAAATAGTGTCACCTGTGAACGGGTTTGTTATTTATCCACCAAACAAAAACAAATTGACGGATTTGGTGGGTTTGGACAAAGGTATAACCGATGGGGTTTTTCTACATCTCATTCCAAAAAGTCGACCTAACCCAAAAAGTCGACCTAAGAGAACAAGATCGTCTGATCGTGTCGGTATAAAAAATTGGATGGAAACAAAAGTTAAACATAAAAGGATGGGCTCGGAATGAATATGTTGAATTTTTGTGATTTTGTTTTTACTCTAGATTGATATGTTTTTTTACAAATATTTGTTCTACATTTAACCAGATATCCAGTGTTCAGCTATCCCTAATAATTCGTATATACTATGCTTTTATTACATAAACAATAACAATAATATGTCTTTGGACCAAACAAAAAACGACAATATATATATATATATACATATTTTCCGTTAAAATATGATTTTATTTAATTAAAAGAGTTAATACATAATTGGTCGCTCATTCACGATGACGGGTTTACATAATCAAAGCAAAATAGGGTCCCGGGAAACCATGTTATAATTTGAACTCCAGTGACCAATGCTACTCAAATCCAGGTAGCAGAGATTTTTTTTCTCCTTTACTATTGGACCAAAGTGACTTTGCTAGATTATGAGCTAATTTATTACATTCTCTCTTCGTATGGGTATGGATGAAGGGGATATTTGAAAATTTTGAAACCCAATACTTGATATCATGAAGAAGATTCGTAATAGAAACATCTCTTGTAGTATCGTTGGCGATGTGAATAAGAACATAGCAATCTGCCAATCTCCTTCAAAACAAATCGATGTATAACCTCAGATCCACATTTGATGCATTGATGCCAAAATAAATTTTAATATTCATTTAAAAATCAACTATTTTTTTTTCTCAACTTATAATTTTTTTAACAGTTTTACACAATTAAGTTAAATATAGATATTTTCTTAATACTATACATTTGCCATACAATATATGAATCTATATATAAAAATACATATATGTATATATTTCTAAATCCGGGGTGTATATCACATATCCGCATTTTAAATTTTGAATTTTTAATATTATACTGCGTTTTCGCACAAATGTTTTTTTTAGTATGACAATTAAGTTCTCGGGAATTATCAAATTGCATCTAAATTTAAATTTTTTAAAAAGCTTAAAATACGGATACCACGAATATTTTGCTACCTCTACTTAACGTATACTTCCAGTTTTCTTCTACAAACACTAAGTGCAACGTTTTTGAGGCCATGACAAGAAAAAAAGTCCGTCACGTTGCGTCACTTGAGACAATGGCTGTCGTCACATTCACACCATAGAAAAATTTGGCTATCTCACTCGTCGTCGTTCACCTGAAAAGTTCAATGGCATATTTCATATATTCACACATATGTGAAAACTTTTGACTCAAATTAAACACTTGAATACAATAGTGAATTAGTTAAATGCAAATAAACAAGATTTAGTTAGGTAAAGAACAAATAGTGAATTTGACAAATGACAATGGAGAAGGTTAAAGTTAAACATATATAGTAACGAATCTAAAAGTCTAAATATAGCTTTATATTTTTCTCTTTTGCTTTTCTTCTCTTTTACTATATATTTCTCTAGCTAGTCTTCATTACTCTAACACCACACTAGTCACACACTTAAATGTTCTTCCGTCTTCATCGCCTTAATCTCATCTACACAACGCTTATGATCAAGTTGGTAAGTCTCTTAAAAATGTCTTTCTTTGTTTTAACTTTAAATGGCACTGAGTTTTTGTGGTATCACTAAAATCAAACGATTCATGATGAAAAACTTGACTTGGTTCAATATTTATTATAATCAATGACTACTTTTTGTTAAAGAGTTTAGGCCTTTGAGCAATGATTTTCATAGAGAAGAAAATAAAGTTGTACATTTGTGGAAACTTTAAGATAGAGGAGAGCGTGTAAAACAGGTAGATTTTTTCCTTATTAATACACTGAATTTTGCAGAGGCTGTTGGGATCAAAGAGTAGCAAACAATAAAAAAGGAGAGGAACTTACTTACAAAAAGAATGGCATTGTCAAAACCACTCCCTCTATTTTCATTTCTTTCTATTTTGGTCCTCTATTTTTCACTCTACACCATAACACCAACTTCTTCACTAGCCTCCCTTCAAGATCAATTCATCAACTGTGTCCAAAGAAACACACATGTTTACTTCCCACTTGAGAAAACGTTCTTTGCTCCTACGAAAAATGTCTCTATGTTCAGCCAAGTTCTTGAATCGACGGCTCAGAATCTCCGGTTCTTGAAACAATCCATGCCTAAACCGGGGTTCATATTCAGCCCGATTCACGAGTCTCATGTACAAGCTTCCATTATCTGTTCCAAGAAACTCCGAATGCATCTCCGTGTCAGAAGTGGCGGTCACGACTACGAAGGCTTGTCTTATGTCTCTCAGATCGATAAACCGTTTATATTGATGGATCTGTCAAAGATGAGACAGGTCGACATTAATATTCAAGACAACAGTGCTTGGGTTCAATCTGGTGCTACAGTTGGTGAACTATATTACAGGTATAAATAAAAGCAATAATGAACAAACAAAACATAAAAACAATCTTTCAACAATGGAATTTTTGATAATATATTTGATTAAAATGTTTGTTACTTGTAGGATTGCGGAGAAGAGCAAAGTCCATGGGTTCCCGGCGGGTTTGTGCTCGAGCTTAGGCATAGGAGGGCACATAACAGGCGGTGCATACGGTTCTATGATGAGGAAATACGGTCTTGGCGCAGACAATGTTCTAGACGCAAAGATCGTTGATGCCAATGGTAAATTACTAGACAGAGCCGCGATGGGTGAGGATACATTTTGGGCGATTAGAGGGGGCGCTGGAGGTAGTTTTGGAATAATTCTAGCATGGAAGATCAAGCTTGTTCCTGTTCCTCAGACCGTTACCGTCTTCACCGTCACCAAAACGTTACATCAAGACGTTGGCAACAAGATTATCTCAAAGTGGCAGAGAGTTGCGGACAAGCTTGTTGAAGAGCTATTCATTAGAGTGCTCTTCAACGTAGCGGGAAACGGTGGGAACAAAACTGTGACGACATCGTACAATGCTCTGTTTCTTGGCGGGAAAGGCACGTTGATGAAAGTTATGAAGAAGAGTTTCCCAGAGCTAGGGCTAACACTTAAAGATTGTATCGAAATGAGCTGGCTTGAATCCATTTCTTACATTTCTGGATTCCCGAGCCACACTCCTACTAGTGTTTTGCTTCAGGGGAAGTCGCCTTTCCCAAAGATCAGCTTCAAAGCCAAATCGGATTTCGTGAAAACCCCGATTCCCGAATCCGGGCTTCAAGGGATCTTCAAGAAGCTACTTAAAGAAGATATTCCATTGATGATATGGAATCCTTACGGAGGAATGATGGCGAAAATCCCCGAATCACAAATCCCTTTCCCGCATAGAAAAGGAGTCCTCTTCAAGGTTCAGTACGTAACAAGTTGGCTAGACAGCGACAAGAGACCGAGCAGACACATCAACTGGATCAGAGATCTCTACAATTACATGACGCCTTATGTCTCAAGTAATCCACGAGAAGCTTATGTGAACTACCGCGATCTAGACCTCGGAAAGAACACAAAAGACGTGAAAACATGCATCAAACAATCTCAAGTATGGGGAGCTAACTACTTCAAAAACAATTTCAACAGATTGATGAAGATTAAATCAAAGGTTGATCCAGAGAACTTCTTTAGACACGAGCAGAGCATTCCACCTATGATGTAACGACAACTTGATCAATCATATAAGAAAATAAATTAGAAGAAAATCAGATAATGTTTCTTCTGTATTTCGGAAAAATGTTCTAGCTATGCTTGTAGTACTTTGTTTCACTTTAATTTGAAATGTTGCTTCTTAGTACCAAATTCCTCAATCGACTCTAGAATCCTATTTAAAGGCTTGTTATTGTTCTTGTTCTTGGTGGAATCAAGTCGTTAAAAATTTAAAATCGATAGTTCTTGGTCAAATTAAGATCATTATGCCTCCTAACTCATGATCACAAGGTTGTGATGAAACCTTGAATATTTATCAAAACTAACAAAATAATTGGATATTTACATAACTCAAATCATATCATATTTTAGATAAATTTATCATTTTACATTAAAATTATAAAAAAAATCCCCAATTTGCTAGGGAATTACTCAATTACACAATCATGTTGTCATGCCAAAATTACAAATCCCGTGTTAATAGCATAACTACGGAAATTCGTTTAAATCCCAAAATTATGGAATCATATTTTGATGTAAAAATTTGGCATTTAGCCATTTACCGTAGAAATAACGTTTTGACGCTAGAACAAAAACAAAGAGTCAACGTGTTCAATACACAAACACATTACCTTCTATTTATTTATATAAAGATTCATTCCTAATTGGACCATTCATCAAATTAGAAATTACTAAATATGTCTACGCATTAATTTTTCATAACACTTATACCCTGCATTATTTATTTTATATATCAAAATTACCACATAAATTTTAAAAATTAAGTAATAGGTTTAACACATTGATTAATATACGTGTAACCCCAAATAATTCTTACTGAAACCACTTGAATCCAAATGAATCTTTTAACTTTATTGCATTTTTTGGTCAACTTAATGTGCATTATTGTAACGTTTCAAAACATGTGGAAAATGGTGGTCACGTTGCTATCATTTCACCTAATCCTTTGCAATGAAGAGATATTTGAATGTAGAGAGAAATTCAACGGATCTTGTTTGATCACAATCTTCTATATTTATAAAAAAATTGAAACTCATTTCTTCTTTGACAAGAACAATAATATATACATCCATTTCCATCTTGAAGCTTGCTTAACTATATGTTTGGCTTCTCTCTTGCATATACTATGGCTGCAAGGATGGAAATTTCAAAACCACGCCCTACAATTTCTTGTATTTCGTTTTTAGCCCTATATATTTCTTTCGTTACAATAACACCAGCTTCTTCAACCTCTCTACAAGATGATTTCATCAAATGTCTCCACAAAAACACAAATGTCCGTTTTCCACTCGACAAAACGTTCTTCACTCCTGAAAGAAACTCTTCGATCTTCACCGAAGTCTTTGAATCGACGGCTCAAAATCAACGGTTACTGACCAAGGCAATGCCTAAACCGGGATTCATATTTAGGCCGATTCATGAGTCTCATGTTCAAGCTTCTGTCATCTGTTCGAAGAAACTTGGAATACATTTTCGTGTTAGAAGCGGCGGTCACGATTACGAGGGCGTGTCTTATGTTTCACGGATCGAAAACCCGTTTGTATTAATCGATTTGTCGAAATTGAGACAAATCAATATTGATATTGAAGACAATAGTGCTTTGGTTCAAGCTGGTGCTACTATTGGTGAGCTTTACTACAGGTAATATAAAAGAGCCCTATGTGGTGACGATATGATAAAATATAAATCCGTACCACCGTATTTTTACCATCTTCCTTAATAATTACATATAAACAATACATGTTATATCACATAAATACAACTTTACCAATCAAAACCATATATTGTTATTATCTCTTTGTGCTTCCTTCACCAGTTTCGTATTATTTTTTTGCTTTTATGTCTTATATGTTTAAAATTCTTAAAAAATTGTAATAATTTTTAAGTTTTATCAAATAAAAATATTTATAATTTTTCATTTTAATTTATTTTTTTTAATAAACCCACTTAAGGACTCTACCATTGGACAAGGAAAATTTTAAGGATTCATCAAAAACTCTTAACTTTTAAATTGTCATAATTTATGATTAAAATATGTTTAAGAATCTTTTTAAGGACTGTTTTGGTCCTAAAGTCTGCAATTATATTGGCCCACTCTTGTATGGATTTTTTAAATCAAGTAAAATGTACAAATCCCAAAATCTTTTTTTTTTATAATAAGAATGTAAATATCATTTCAAGAAATGAAAATTTAGGATGTTAATCCTAAATACTACATGACTCCATGAAAAAAAAAGTAAAAAAAAAACATCGAAACATAAAAATTTCGGGATTCAAATCATCACTAAATCCCAAAATCTTTCTATACACTTTTCAGTTTTCCATATAATATTTTTGTAAAATGCAAACAAATTAACGTCATACGAATTTATTTTTTTTTGTTTAAAACGCTCAAGGTTGTGAATCATTTGGAACATATATATACTACATGTCAAACCAAACAATTGCAACAAGGGTGAACAATCTTTCATTATTGAATCTTTGGTTTGTTGATTGTAGAATTGCAGAAAAGAGCAAGATCCATGGATTCCCTGCAGGTGTGTACCCGAGCGTAGGCATAGGTGGGCATATAACAGGCGGTGCATACGGTTCCTTGATGAGGAAGTATGGTCTTGCTGCAGATAATGTTCTAGACGCAAAGATCGTTGATGCTAATGGTAAATTACTCGACAGAGCCGCAATGGGGGAGGATCTGTTTTGGGCGATTAGAGGAGGCAGTGGAGGGAGTTTTGGGATAATTTTATCATGGAAGATCAAGCTTGTTCCTGTTCCTGAAACCATAACCGTCTTCACTGTCACCAAGACATTGAAGCAAGATGCAAGTTTCAAGATTCTTTTAAAGTGGCAACGAGTTGCGGACAAGCTTGTTGAAGAGCTCTTCTTACGAGTGTTCTTCACTGTAGTTGGAAACAAAGCAAACAAGACAGTTTCGATGGCCTACATAGGTCAGTTTCTTGGTGAGAAAGGCACCTTGATGGAGGTAATGGAGAAGGATTTTCCGGAACTAGGGCTAACTCAGAAGGATTGTATAGAAATGAACTGGATCAAATCCATTATTTACAGCTCTGGATTCCCAACAAGCTCTCCTCCTCCCATTGAGATTTTGCTTCAAGCAAAGTCTCCACTTGGAAAAGTTTACTTTAAAGCGAAATCGGATTTTGCTAAAGAACTTATTCCTGTTTTAGGGCTCAAAGGGATGTTCAAGAAGTTACTTGAAGAAGACGTAGCATTAGTGATTTGGACTCCTTACGGTGGAAAGATGGATAAAATCCCTGAATCCGAGATCCCGTTTCCGCATAGAAACGGAACCATCTTCATGATTCAATATTACAGGAACTGGACAGATAGCGAGGAATCGAACAAACGCATCAAATGGATCAGAGAGTTGTACAGTTACATGACGCCTTACGTCTCAAGCAATCCAAGACAAGCATATGTGAACTACAGAGATCTAGACCTGGGACAGAACAAGAACAACTCAAAGGTTAACTTCATAGAAGCTAAAATCTGGGGAGCTAATTATTTCAAAGACAATTTCAACAGATTGGTGAGGATTAAAACAAAGGTTGATCCAGATAACTTCTTTAGACACGAGCAGAGTATACCAACTCTGCCCATTCGAAGCTAAGCTCATGATAACCATATCAATATAAGAATAAAGGTAAGAACACACAATAAATTAAACGAATCAAATAATGATTATTTTGTATTTCAGAAAATGTCTAGTACATTGTACTTGGAGGTTCTTACTTCTTATTAGTATCCAATTCCTAAATATATTTGGAGGCTTGTTCTTGCACGAAAAAAAAAGAATTATGCTTTTTGAATAAGATTGTGAAATCAAAACAATTCATACGAAAAAAAAAAAAAAAAAAAAAAAAAAAAAAAAAAATTCATACGAAAAAAATAAACAAGAAATATGAAGGGGGTAAATATTTTCAGATTAAACAAAACATATAGTAGAAAATAAAAATAAGATATAAAATTGTATAATAGAGGGGATGTTGTTCGTTTAACCAAACTATACAAAACATTATCTTTTGTCAACAAAATGTTTTTTTTTTTAATATAATTTAACACCTAAAATGGAAGCTAGGAAGAAATGTTTAACAGACAATTAGATGACTACAAGTCTCTAATATTTTCTGATTTAGATTAACCAACTCGGTGTTGTTATCCGATTGAAACGTAATTGCTAATTTACATGTCTAAAAATGTGAATCCGTATGAAATCTTTTGACGGAATTGCATTTTTTGTCAACTTAAATATACGGTTATCCACAAATCAAGCTAAAACAAAGTCAACATTTTCAAGACATGACAAAAAAATCGCCTCACAGTCATTATCCGCCGATTCGTTTGACCACGCAACATGCCAACATGTCAATGAATATAGGCATAGTCGCCAAATCGTCATTAAGCAACGCCCGTCATATTAAGGAGAAACAAAATAATCTTAATTAGCGTTAACACAACCAAATTTCCAATTAGACTTGACTAATTTAACAAGTCTCCTTTGATCACAATATTTTATATTCATATAAAGACATTTCTTCATTGAACCAAAACAAAAATTCATTTGTCATGAGGAAAAAATAAATGTAAATATTAGTTGTAAACTCAACCACCTTATCTTATAAAAATCACACTAGTCTCTAAACACGTTACTTCCATTCCATATTTTACTCTCATCGACTAATCAAACGAATCTTGTTTTGACAATCCTTTAGAAGAACACATTTTCTTCATTGCACACTAAAAAGAAAAACACAAAACACATCCATTTCTCTATTTTGAAGACTAATTGTGTTTTTGGCTTCTCTCTTGCATATTCGCTGCAAGGATGGGAATTTCAACACCACTCCCTACAGTTTCTTGTATTCTATTTTTATTTTTGTATTTCTCATTCTATTGCATAACACCAACTTCTTCATCAGCCTCCCTCCAAGATCAATTCATAAACTGTGTCAAAAGAAACACGCATGTTTCTTTTCCACTCGAGACAACGTTATTTGCTCCTGCGAAAAACGTCTCTACGTTCAGCCAAGTTCTTGAATCAACGGCTCAAAATCTCCAGTTCTTGGCAAAATCTGTGCCTAAACCGGGATTCATATTTAGGCCGATTCACGAGTCTCAAGTCCAAGCTTCCATCATCTGTTCTAAGAAACTCGGAATTCATTTTCGTGTTAGAAGTGGCGGTCACGATTTCGAGGCCTTGTCTTATGTCTCACGGATTGAAAAACCGTTTATATTACTCGATCTGTCGAAATTGAGACAAGTCGATGTTGATATTGAAACCAATAGTGCTTGGGTTCAACCTGGTGCTACGCTTGGTGAGCTTTACTACAGGTAATATTGGTCAACATATGCGTTTCCTTTAAATCTATATGAAATATTTCTATAAACAATCATATTTGTGATATATTTAATATTTTCTAGGCCACCATATATATTTAAAATTATATATATATTTACAAAAAAAACATGTTCACATTAGAAAAATACATATATACTTAATAACTAACTAAAACTATTTGCCGATAAAAAAAAACTAAAACTATTTATAAAACATATACTATACTTTACAAATTTAATTTTAGAGTCTAGCATGCAAGACCGGCCCATGACATAAACATGGAAAATCGGTATACTATTGCTTAAACAATCTCCAATGTAAATCTCTATTTTTTTACTTTAAAATATAAACTCTAAAATAAAGCATGATTTTTCTCCAATGTATCACTCTATATCCTACTTTAAAATAGAGTTAATGTAAAAAAATAGAATTCCTCTAAATATAGAGCAATTATCTCTTTTACTCTATTTTAGAGTAGGATACAGACTAGGGTTGGAGAGATTTGTGCTCTAAAATAGAGTTTAGAGAAGAAGAAAAATAGAATAGGGTTGGAGATGCTTTTATGACCCAAATTTTGTGGACTGTCATAGATTTTTTTTTAAAAAATTAGTATTTATTTTTATTTATGTTAAAATTGTTTTTTTTTTCCTTCTCCTTTAGGTTACATTGTATCGGTTAAGATTTTGCTTATGATATGGTTGTTTAGGATTTCAAAAATTAATTTATGTAATGAATTGACAAAATTGACAAGCCTAGTTGCGGATTATTTTAGAAAAACATACATAATATATATAAACCATACGCAAATCTAAGCTATATATGTAACAAGAGCGATGAGATTGGACTTTCTTACTACTAAATTGACAATGACAGGCCTACTTCCGGGTCATTTTAACAGACATATATACATAATATATATAAACCATACGCAAATCAAAGCAACAAGAGTAAGCAATAACATTTTACTTACTGTTGACAAAAGATATAAAAAAAACAAAGAAGAAGAATATCATGTTTTTTTTGACATCGTATCGTTTTGGTAATTTTGTTAAAGTTTTTACCTTTTAACTGCAGTATTGCAGAGAAGAGCAAAGTCCATGGATTTCCCGCGGGTTTGTGCACGAGCGTAGGCATAGGTGGGTATATGACAGGGGGTGGATACGGTTCCTTGATGAGAAAGTATGGTCTTGCGGGAGATAATGTTCTAGACGTAAAGATGGTTGATGCAAATGGTAAATTACTCGACAGAACCGCGATGGGTGAGGACCTATTTTGGGCGCTTAGAGGAGGCGGTGGAGCGAGTTTTGGGATAGTTCTCGCATGGAAGATCAAGCTTGTTCCTGTTCCTGAGACCTTAACAATCTTCACCGTTACCAAAACGTTAAAACAAGACGCAAGGTTGAAGATTATTTCTAAGTGGCAACAAATTGCATCCAAGCTTGTTAATGAGCTACACATCCGATTGTTACTCAGAGCCGATGGAAATACTGGAAACAAGACTATTACAATGTCCTATTTAGGTCAGTTTCTTGGCGAGAAAGGCACCTTGATGAAGGTTATGGAGAAGGATTTTCCAGAACTAGGGTTAACTCAAAAGGATTGTACCGAAATGAGCTGGATTGAAGCAGCCCTTTTCCATGGTGGATTTCCAGCTGGTTCTCCTATCGAAATTTTGCTTCAACGCCAGTCGCCTTTAGGAAAAGATTACTTCAAAGCAACGTCAGATTTCGTTAAAGAACCTATTCCTGTTTTAGGGCTCAAAGGAATTTTCAAAAGATTGATTGAAGGAAAGATAACATTTCTGAACTGGACTCCTTACGGTGGTATGATGTCCAAAATCTCCGATTCCGCGATCCCATTTCCTCACAGAAACGGAACTCTCTTCAAGATTCTCTATTACACGAACTGGCTAGAGAATGACAAGACATCGAGTAGAAAAATCAAATGGATCAAAGAGATATACAGTTACATGACGCCTTATGTCTCAAGCAATCCAAGACAAGCATATGTGAACTACAGAGATCTAGACTTCGGACAGAACGAGAACAACTCAAAGGTTAACTTCATCGAAGCTAAAATCTGGGGACCTAAGTACTTCAAAGACAATTTCAACAGATTGGTGAAGATTAAAACAAAGGTTGATCCGGATAACTTCTTCAGGCACGAGCAGAGTATCCCACCTATGCCCTGAACGAAGCTAGGTTCATGATAACGATAACATTATCAAAAATAAAAATAAATTATAAATGTATGTTGCAACTTGCCTAAGAACATACAATAATGTTTCCATGTTTTTATGAATTATGCTTCCATATTTTTTTTTCTTATTTTTGTTATGAGACCATTTGTATAAGTCTTGTAAACCTAAACCTTTTTCACTTTTAATGAAATATTTACAATCTTAAAAAGAAAAAAAGGAACATATACAATATTGAATAAACTAGAAGAACTCCACAATGATTCATGTACTTTATTTCAGAAAATGTGATAAAAATAAAATATTTTTTACCTTACTTTTCGAAATAATGCTTCTTATACGTCACCAATTGATTCTAAATCCAGTTTTTTTAAAGCAACCCTAATTTTCTTATTAGGAGAATCGTTCTTGTGTTCAACCTTTTCGTTAAATGGCACTCAAACAGTTTCACGACTACGAAGGCTTGTCTTATGTCTCACAAATCGAAAAACCGTTTATATTGATGGATCTGTCAAAGCTGAGACAGATCAACATTAGTATTAAAGAAAACAGTGCTTGGGTTCAAGCTGGTACCACAAAAACTAAAACAATCTTTCAAGAATTAAATCTTTTGTTGTATATTTGATAGAAACTGTTTTGTTACTCATAGGATTGCAGAGAAGAGCAAGGTCCATGGGTATTCTGCGGATTTGTGCTCGAGCTTAGGCATAGGTGGGCACATAACAGGCGGTGCGTATGGTTCAATGATGAGGAAATACGGTCTTGGTGGAGATAACGTGTTAGACGCAAAGATCGTTGATGCCAACGGTAAATTACTCAACAGAACAACGATGGGTGAGGATATGTTTTGGGCGATTAGAGGAGGCGGTGGAGCGAGTTTTGGAATAATTTTAGCATGGAAGATCAAGCTTGTACCTGTTCCTAAGACTGTAACCGTCTTCACCGTCACTAAAACGTTAGTACAAGATGTTGGTAACAAGATTCTTTCAAAGTGGCAAATGGTTGCCGCGGACAAGCTTGTTGAAGAGCTATTCATCAGAGTGATCTTCAACGTAGCTGGAAACAATGGGAACAAGACTGTGACAACGTCGTACAATGCTCTGTTTCTTGGCGACAAAGGCGCGTTGATGAAAGTTATGAAGAACGGTTTTCCAGAGCTAGGACTAATACCGAAAGATTGTATTGAAATGAGCTGGATCGAATCAATTGTTTAATTTTCAAAACTAGTGTTCAGATGAAGCCCAATAAGAAAATAAGATCTATCTTCAGAACTTTTTTTAAAAAAAATCAAAATTTAAATTATTTTAGTTAACAAAAAAAATTGTGAACTTCATTCTTAATCTCTTATACAAAACAAAATTAGTAGATGCGGATATAGAAAACCCTATCCCCTATATAATAAGTGAGAATACTTTTTAAAAAGAAGTTTACCTTTATATGTGATTAATAAAAATGTCAATGTTAATGTTTCGGATAGAGCTTCTTAGCCTATTTAATTAATTGCCTAACATTTACTAAAATATTTACATGTTCTATCTTTACTGTTATGTATACATATTGCATCTCACAAAATAATGAAATTCCAATTAAAACACAATTAAAGAATCAATTAATCTAATCCAATTAGAGGACGGCAACCTAACATCCTATACTATTATTTGGGAAGTACACTTTATAAGATACCCTTAACTAACCTTCCATTTTGTAAGAATTTACTTAAGAATGCCATTACAAAAATCTTTTTTTTGAACAAATTTTATTCAATTTATTAAGGATAAACAAGTAAAATACTAATTTATGTTATTTAATTAATTTAATTAAATTATAAAACGAAAATCTGTTATTATTTTTTTTTTTTAAATGACCAATCAAAATGAACATATAAGATTTGATATCTAACTTACCATATTAATTTGTTATTAATCATTAAACTTCACCTCTCATCTTTATATGATTATATTAATATGAAAGAAATAAATCATCATATCATCTACATAATAAAAAAAAAAAGTAAATTTTTTCTGCATATGCCAAGATTTGAATTTTTAAAAACGTATATAAATTGTTCAATATAAAGGAAACAATTAAACGGGTCAAAAATTCAGACTTGAGTTATATATTTTTTTTACACAAAAATAAAGTCAACAAAAATTCTGACTGAGCAACGAGTCAGAATTTGAATATTTATATTCGATTTCATACATTTATTTTTTTGAAATGTATAATTTTATATACTACAATAAAAATTTAAATATTTTAATTTACAACATTTAAAATAAGTTTTACTTGATATTTTTAGAGAATATCATCAATACTTAATAGTTCAAAAAGTTAAAAATTATAAATACTCTAATTTGATTATTTTAAAAAATATTTATAATAGGTAGCGGGTTAAATATAATATATTATATGATGAAATAAGTTTTGATCCTTATAACTATTTGAATAGTTATATTTAATTTCATATAATTTGTTTTTTGAAATTCATAATTTTATAAACTACAAAAAAAATAAAGATTTTAATTTGGAATATTTAAAAATAGTGTAGAACATTTAAATATGGTTTGACACCTCTAAATATTTGAAAATTTGATTCCGCAAGCAATTTTAGAATTAACGAATAATCGATTGTGCACGCAATATTTTAAAATGAAATATTGAGATTCTAAAATAAAAATATAGACTCCACGCACGGGTTGATTTTGGTATTATTATATACTAAATATATGTTTATAACATATTCGATTATGCGAATAATTGGTAAATTCCGTAATTATAAATCTCAAACAAATTCTGTAATTAGATTAGCTCAAACAAATCTCTATTTCAATAACCAAAGAATTATGAATTGAAAAAGAAATTTCTAAATTAATTCAAAATAATACCTAATTTTCTTAATTAATTCAAAATAATCTATGTTTTATATGCGATTTATTTATGATATTTTAATTTTAGATCTAACTGAAATATATGCAATCCTATTTTGTGGTTGTTAACATAAATTAACTCATTGTTTAAAAAATATTACTTTTTAAAAAATAAAATTATTTTCCGTTTTCATATCTTAAAAAAAAATTTATCCATAATTGAGTATTATAGAAAAAATTCTATATTTATTCTAATATTGTATATATGGACTGACAAAAAAATTAATATTTTTTCACTTACTATTATAATATATTAAAACTTAGTTCTAATATATATATTATATAAATTTTGTAATAAATAAAATTCAACCCGTACTTTAGTACGGGTGGTGATAACATTTTTCCTATATTAACATAAAAAGAGTCTACGTTAACAAAGACATTAATCTGTTCGTATATTAATATGAAAGAAAATTGTACTAATCTTAATAATCAATCTTGGTCATTGGTATCATTTGTATCGAAATTACAGTTAAAATAAAATATGCGTTAAATGTATACTCATTTGTGCAAAGTCAGCATCTAACATTTTTTTTATCAATAATAACATCCACATATAAACAAAAGGAAAAACTACAACAATTACCACTTTTTTTTCAATTTCTTTCAAAATCTACCACATTCATAACTTCCTTTCAACTCCTACCACATTTAGTATTTGAAATTACTAATTTGCCCTCCCTATTTATCTTCTCTATTTATCTCTCCTCCCTATTTATTTTTCCTACAACATTAGCTTCCCTATTTATCTCTTTCTCCCTCGAGACACGTGCACTTTAACCAAGAAACATTATATCTCTCTGAGACTAAACAATTAACTTTCCTTTTTGTCTCCAGATCTTGTCCCCGATTGGAAATTCTCTGTTGCGTCTAGATCTTGTCCCCGATTTCATTATCTTGCTCTATTATCATGAATCCCATATCATGTCCACCAATTGTTCTCATTTAAGGGTTTCGAAGTTTATTTAGATTTTTCACCATCTATTTTGGTCCACAGATTAGTTGAGCATTATTGTCTTCACCTACCCGGATTACTGAATTTTTTTCCTTCTATTGCAAAATAACAAAAAAGATCCAGTTGTCCCCGAGTACTATTACTCATTCTATTACTCATTCGATAAGAACTTGTCCCCGATCTAATTCAATTACTCATTCGATCTGAACTTGTCCCCAATCTAATTCTATTACTCATTCGATATGAACTTGTCTCCGATCTAATTCTATTACTCATTCGATCTGAACTTGTCCCCGATCTAATTCTATTACTCATTCGATCTGAACTTGTCCTCGATCTAATTCTATTACCCATTCTATCTGAATTTGTCCCCGATCTAATTCTATTACTCATTCGATCTGAACTTGTCCCCGATCTAATTCTATTACTCATTTGATATGAACTTGTCTCCGATCTAATTATATTACTCATTCGATCTGAACTTGTCCCCGATCTAATTCTATTACTCATTCGATCTGAACTTGTCCTCGATCTAATTCTATTACCCATTCTATCTGAATTTGTCCCCGATCTAATTCTATTACTCATTCGATCTGAACTTGTCCCCATATAACATATTATTTAAATAAAATTATATGCAATTGTAAACGTGCAACATTTATTGCAACTTGTCCCTTTATCTGACACAGCAGTCTGTCCCTTTATCTGACACACCAGTCTGTCACCATCAAGGGCAATTTCGTCCACAAATTTGCATGTGGCAATGAAATGTGGTAGATTTTGAAAACTGTTTCCAATTGTGGTAGATTTTGAAAGCCACTTTTCAAAAAGTGGTACATTTTGCAAGATTCCCTAAACAAAAACTTTGCACTTATCTTAATAATAATTAACACACGCGCGACCAGTTAAATAACACTACGTTAAAAAGTTTCCTATTATACTAACATCCAAATTTCACATTACATTAACATTTAAAAAGAAAAAAATTAATACCAAAATATTGCCCCCGATCATTTCTAATGCAACCATTTATTCATTATTATTTATTTTTATAATAAATATCGTTTAATTTTTTAATGCAGATTTTTTATAAAAGTGATAAGTTTATCCCACGGATTTAATGTAATAACTAATAAAAAAATTGTAAAATATATTATTAAACAGTAAACCAAAAAAAATATTTTACGTAATATGTATGTTAAAACCTTAAACGATACTATTTTATAAACGAAGAGAGTAGTTGTTACAAAACAAAATGGTCGTGCAAGACATCTTGCTTTTATTTTATTAATATAAAATTATGTGACAACTCACAAAGATTTTGTAAAAAAATATTAGTTTTATTTATTTATGAATTTAATTCAATTTATCCTCTGAACATAGTCTATAAATTTGACTCAATTTATGTCCTTTACTAAGTACGAGTTTAACACTAGTCTAAAAATAAAGGAACTACCCACAAATCATATTCTTGACCAAAACAAAATCGATTAGCTTATTAAACCAGTGGTTATGACATTGTTTGAACGACGTTTGAACGACGATATAGTCTGTCATGAGCTAAAATTCACGAAAAAAGCTTTAGATGCCATAAGGTTAATAAAAATTTAGGGCATTTTTCAAAAGGGATTTGATCTCAAACACTGCTTTTGATAGTGGGCCAAAAGAGTTTTTTTTTTATAAGCAACAAAAATAGTTTGGGTCAATACTGAGCGACAGGCTGTTGTTTTGTGTCGCGACATCCATCTTCGATATAGGCAAGCAAATATCCTCTTACATATATGTCAATTATTAATATTCATGATTTGTGTAAGTTAACATCATTTCAAAAATAAAACCTGTTACAAAATTTTATTCCACGTCTCAAAGTAAAATTTGCTTACAATAGATTCTCGTAGTTTAAAAATCATCGTTATATAATTTTTATATAATAAAATCACAAGTTAATTCAAAGAAAACTTAACATTATTTCTGTCATGTGTATTTTGCTCACGTCTCTAAATTTTTGTTTTTCATATAAAAAAAAACAATTTCGTCTAATTATACAAGAACTGCTCCCGGATCTCCACTTCTCTTTTTAATACTGTAAAAAGGGAAAAAAATCCAAAATTCTGATTGGTTCAGTAATTAGAAAAATCTACCCGTATTCCAAAAATAATTCCTTCGCTACACGGATCCACCTGTATTTCTAAATTCTGATTAATTTAGTAATTAGAAATTCTAAAACTATAGTGTAAACATTAAGGTGCTGTGGTGTAGTGGTTATCACGTTTGCCTTACACGCAAAAGGTCTCCAGTTCGATCCTGGGCAGCACCAATAGTTTTACTCTTTTTTCACTCGTTTATTAACAAAAAAATAAATGGCCGTTACTTATTTTATTTCACGGACATAAATCACCATCGTCGTCGTTGACCCAAAAAAGCGATCTCCATCATCATCTTTTTTTGTTTCTTCTAAATTCTTTCACAAACCCTAAAAATCTCCATCTCCGTCACTGTCGACCACCACTGCCTTTTCACACTTGTCTCCACCGTTAAACTGCAAAACCCATTTCTCATTTCCCCCAAATCTCTCCAATTTGGATTTACTTTGTGCGTAAAACCCTTAATTTCGCATTTTTACGCATCCGATCTTGCAGTTCGAAACTCGAGTTCAACTTCAATTGAGGTAGATTTCGAGAAAAAGTTGAAGAATTTCGGAACAAGTAAGGTAAACTTTTGTGATTTTTGACTTGGGTTTTCGATTTACATTGTGAAGATGAGAATAAAGGCAACACATTTCACTGTATAATTCGGCTGGTTGATGCTTAGTTTGAAGATTGCTTCTTGGGTTCTCTTTTCTTTGGTTTCTTTGGTATTAAGTTATATTGAGACTCGAATTGAAAGAAAGCTTCGATTTTTCTGGCTATGTGGTAAGTGGTAACATTTTGCATCGTAGTTCAATAGGAATTGGGTTTTTGATCCATAATTTTAGAACCAAGATGATTACTTTTGCTAAAGTTATTGCTTTTGGGTAGGTTTTGTAACGAATTCATTTTTTAAGATATGCATAAAAGTTATCTATTGATGCCATATCTAAGATGAGTTTATCTGTTTTTGTTAAAGGATTTGACTTGATTTTACTTTCTAGATGATCAGAGAAGCTTAAGATGTGTATTTTTAGGATGCCTAATTGAAAATGGATAAACTTGTGTTAATTATACCTATCTCATATATATCTGAACAAGGGACATATGAAAATTGGGTTTGTGTCTATTTAGAATCATCCAGCAAGTTTTGTGTTAATTGCAGTCATTTACAGTGTTATACAAATTAACAATAAGCAAATTAAACAAGTTCGATTTGCCCATTGTAGGTTTTAACGGTGGAATTGGGGAGTCTTGAAGCTTATTTTTTACTCCTGGTCTCTTTTTCTTATGTGGTGGTGCTTGAGAGGGTTTGTGTATGATATAAATGCTCTAGATCAGAGAAAAGGTCTAACATGAAGTTATCAAATATTCCGCAACGCTATGTGATAGTTTTCTTAACTTTCCTCAGCACCTGCGTTTGTTACATAGAGCGTGTTGGCTTCTCTATTGCATATACCGTTGCTGCAGATGCTGCTGGGATCAATCAATCAAGCAAAGGAACTATACTCTCTACATTCTTTGTTGGCTATGCTTGTTCTCAAGTTCCTGGAGGTTGGGCAGCTCAGAAAATTGGGGGAAGGAAAGTTCTTCTTCTGTCATTTGTTTTATGGTCATCGACGTGTTTCTTGGTTCCGCTTGATCCAAACAGAGTCGGGCTTTTGGTTTTTGCCCGTTTACTTGTTGGTGTTGCTCAAGGTTTCATCTTTCCCTCTATCCACACAGTTTTGGCTCAGTGGGTTCCTCCTCATGAAAGGTCTAGATTGGTTTCAATAACAACATCGGGAATGTATTTAGGTGCAGCTTTAGGAATGTGGCTTCTCCCTGCTTTAGTTGAGCTTAGAGGTCCGGAATCAGTTTTCTTAGCAGAGGCATTAGCAGGTGTTATATGGTCATTGCTTTGGATTAGGTACGCTACTGACCCACCTCGATCTGAGCATCCGAAAGCCGCCGCTGCTGGATTTGGAGGTGCTCTTTTACCGACTAATGTAAACCACCATAAAGTTACTCATATCCCGTGGAAGAAAATCATGCTCAGTTTACCCGTTTGGGCGATCGTGGTTAACAATTTCACATTCCATTATGCTTTATACGTGTTGATGAACTGGCTTCCAACGTATTTCGAGCTTGGACTCCAGATCAGTCTTCAGGGGATGGATTCATCAAAGATGGTGCCATACCTCAACATGTTTGTATTCTCCATTGTTGGTGGGTTCATCGCAGACTATTTGATCACCAAGAGAATACTCTCGGTAACCAGAACCCGCAAGTTCTTGAACACGGTTGGGTTCCTAATTGCATCAGCGGCATTGATGGTCTTGCCTCTCTTTAGAACTGAAAATGGTGTGATCTTATGTTCCTCTGTGGCTCTTGGGTTTTTAGCATTAGGAAGAGCTGGTTTTGCGGTAAACCATATGGATATTGCTCCAAGATATGCAGGAATAGTGATGGGAGTTTCAAATACTGCTGGGACATTAGCTGGAATCATTGGTGTTGATTTGACTGGAAAGCTTCTTGAAGCTTCTAAATTGGTTTACTCAGATTTGTCACATCCTGAGAGCTGGAGAGTTGTGTTCTTCATCCCGGGTTTGCTCTGTATCTTTAGCTCCGTTGTGTTTTTGCTGTTTTCTACAGGAGAAAGGATCTTTGATTGAGAAAAGAAAAAGAACAAAACTTTTAGAGAAACCCTTATCAAGATTAGTTAGTAAAAGCCTCTACATTTTGAATCCTGAATTGAAGATCGATCGGTAATCGCGGAATTTTTGGAGGGAAATGTTGTTGTGTGCAGTAATGATCTTTGATTGATGGTTTTGAAATCTTGTCCTCAGGCTTATATTGGTATTCTTTGTTTTTGGTGAATAAACTTGAATCACACCAAAGAGTATTATTGGTTGATCTTTCAATATATACTATGAATAAGAATTGGAAATTGTAATCTTAGTAGCCCCATTTTCTTTTATTTTTTTATCAGTTTCGATTTTGTTAAATCGAATGAATAATAATTGAGGGGGTTTTGTAATTGGATATTGTAAAAGTTTTGAGTTCTTATAAAATGAGGTTCTCATATTTCATTTTGGTTCCATTTGTTATTGTGGTTCAGCTCGATTTTAATGTCAAGAAAAATGTTGTAATTGTTAAAATTTTCTCAATTAGTTTTATTTTTAACTTCTTATAACCACTAAATTAGTTTAATCTTTGTTAATCTTCACTGTAACACAAATGACTCATGCAATGGGCAAGAGCGATCAGTGGAAGACAACTAACAATTAGAAAACGTCGACACGTTGCTTTCATGCCGTTGAATTGCAGTAAATATATATACCTGACGATCGCTTCATTTAATGTTTTTAATATTAATTCGTTCACAAAAACAAAATGTAATACAAATGATAGATAAGTTATCACCCACTAATTTTTTTTTTTTTTAATCTATCAGTTAATTTATATAACCGTATGATGCTTATAACCTTATATCAATGATAGATAAGTTAAATAAAAATGCATTAGCTATTAGGGCAACGGTTAGTTTACTTGATTTTTTTTCTTTTAAATCAAAATTTGTTATATGTGAAAGTGCAAATTATAACGAAAATCTATATATCAAAGTTTTATAAACACATGCCTTTTTTACTGCAAAATAAACCACTTGCTTAGGATCCCACAATATAAGCAATGTTTTAGACGTTTTCGAACACCACAAATTATGAATGCAAGTAGGTAGGTTTTGCCCATATTAACACAATTAGATGGGGAAATTATTAGTATATATTAGCACAAAAGTGTGAATATATTTCTTCTATACTAGGTCTATATTAGTTATGGACATATAAGTAAATAATGAGAAAATATTCCAATAACTGATAAATATGGTAATGCATATTACAACACGTAATACCCATTGTTGGAATAACTTACTAATTGAAACATAAAATAAAATATATTAAATTTTCTTATACCCAAATTTAGAAGCTTATTATTAATGTTCTTTTGTTTCTGAGCAACACTTCCAAAAAACAAAATTTTCACTGAATTTTAAGTTTTATTTTTTATAATTTCTACGTCGGTGTTAGGTGGAACCTAGTTTACTCTTCCTGCAACTTCATCAGTTCTTATCAAAATCTCTGATACTCTTCTCAACACCAGAGCAAGAACAAATGATATATCTCTGTAACTTCAAACACAAGAAAACCAAAACACTAAAGATGAGAACACTTGAAGCTTTTGCTCTGTCTCTGTTTCTTGTCTTCTTAGTTAAATGGGTCAGTTCTGATTCTAATTCTCTTCCTAGTAGAGACCAATTTCTGAGTTGCATGTCAACACATTCTGGTTCAAGCTTCATAAACCCTAGAAGCTTCATCCACAAGCCAGATTCAAGACTCTACACCGATTTCTCGCAATCTTTATCCCAAAATTACAGATTCCTGACCTTGAATTTCACAAGCCAGAAGCCGATTCTGATCGTTACACCAAGAACTGATTCTGAAATCCAGAGATCACTACTCTGCAGCAGGAAACTTGGGGTGCAAGTAAGGACTAAAAGCGGCGGTCATGACTATGAAGGCCTTTCTTACCTCTCATTACACTCGCCTTTCATCATCCTCGATCTTGTTAATGTTCGATCGATCGAGATCAACCTCGCAGATGAAACAGCTTGGGTTGGAGCGGGTGCGACAATCGGTGAGCTTTACTATAAAATTGCTAAATTTAGTAAGATCCATGGCTTCCCTGCAGGAACATGCCCTAGTGTTGGAGTTGGAGGTCATTTTAGTGGAGGAGGGTTTGGTGCAATGATGAGGAAACATGGTTTAGCCGCGGATAACATTGTGGATGCGCGTTTTGTAGACGCAAATGGGAGGATCTACAACAGTAGGAGAGAAATGGGAGAAGATTTATTCTGGGCGATTAGAGGAGGTGGAGCAGCTAGCTTTGGTGTTGTACTTTCATGGAAAGTGAAGCTAGTTAGGGTTCCAGAGAAGGTTACGTGCTTCAGAAGGAACCTACCGTGGACACAGAACATGACTAAAATTGTTCATAGATGGCAGCAAATTGCAGTAGAGCTTGAAGATAATCTCTTTATCCGAGTCATTGTTTCCAATTCTGGAGGATCTGTTCAAGCTACATTCCAAGCAAATTATCTTGGAGGAATCGATAAACTAATTCCTCTAATGAATCAGAAGTTTCCGGAATTAGGGTTAAGGTTTCAAGACTGTTCGGAAATGACCTGGATCGATTCAATAATGTACTTCAACTGGAAGAAAGGACAACCACTAGAGAATCTTCTCGATCGAGAACAAAGATACAATGATCTGTATTTCAAAGCCAAATCTGATTTTGTCAAGAACCCAATTCCTGAAATCGGTCTAGAAGGTATATGGAAGAGGTTTCACGAGGTCGAATCTCCGATAATGATAATGGAACCATTAGGTGGTAAAATGTATGAGATTGGTGAGAGAGAGACTCCATTTCCACATAGAAGAGGGAATCTATATAATATACAATATATGGTGAAATGGAGAGTGAAGGACATTGGAGAGATGGAGAAACATGTGACATGGGTGAGATTGCTTTATAGGTATATGAGAGTTTATGTCTCTGGATCACCAAGAAGAGCTTATTTGAATTACAGAGATCTTGATTTAGGTATGAATAGTGGGATTAATACGAGCTTCGAAGATGCGAGATTATGGGGGTTTAGGTATTTTGGAAGTAATTTCAAGAGATTGGCTATGGTTAAAGGGAAGATTGATCCAACCAATTTCTTCAGGAATGAGCAGAGCGTTCCTCCGTTGGTTGTGTGAAAAAAAAACTAAGATTTGATTCTTAGACAAAACCAATGTTTGTTTGTTTGTTTGTTTATGTTCTTGGACTTTTGTGGCTCTATAGATATATTGTATTGTCCTCATGTAACGTTCAGTGTGAAAGTGATCGTGTTGTATATGGTCTGATATCTCATTATAAATCTCGTTTTTATTTTGCTTCTTCTTTGTAATTACCTAAACAATGAATTATTGATTTGGAACTTCGAGTCAAACCGGCAAATATAATTACAGCTAAACTTGGTTTTCATTTGTAAATATTAAAGTTCTAATTTCATAATAATTTGTCTTGTTTTTTTTTTGGTCAACCATATATATTCTACTATGATTAAACTCCAATAGTGTTACAATGCCGACTCAGTACACAAATCATTGGCCGATTTATACAACATATTCTTTTTCTAACAAGGTTTCTCAAAACATGACAATGTCAAAAAATGAAAAAATTATTGCTTCCACAAACTTTACTGTCAAGTTTCATAAGCTTTTAACTTAAAACCAATAAGCAATGAGCAAATTGGCATATACCTTTTATATATTATTGTTGGTCCCTTCAAACTTCTATTGTGTGATTCTAACATTCCCTTTCGAAATGATAGCTTTTATCAGTCAATCTCGAACCGAAGCTAACTATAGGATTGGTAATAAATCTTTTTTGGGCCACCCGATTTAGATCAACAAACGAGTCTTTGATATCATGTTAAGTTTCATGAGTTTCCAAATTAAAACCAATTATCAATGAATGAATTGACCGATATCCTTTATATATTAATGTTGATCCCTTTAAACTTCCAATGTAGGATCATAACATTGACAACCAATATAAACACTCTTGATTGCTTTTACTTATCATTTTATCAAGAAAATAAAACTAACAAAGGACCTCTAAAAACAAGAGATCACAGTTTATTTCATATATAAGATAGCCGCACATTTGAGTGAAAAACCAAACCACATTTAGTTAGACCTTTTTGCTTCGATTCTTATTGCACTAATGCGATTTGGTTTATTATAATTACTGTCCCCTTTAAATCCATCTTTATCATCATCGTTAACTAGTATATATATTTAGTAATATATATACGAATCTTGCCACAAGTTAAAATGCTCAATTATATATGTATCGTTGTCGCTTATTTGGAAGAAGAATGTATATAGTAAAAGAACCAATTATGCGTGGCTACTTTATTGGACATTCGTTGATCATTATATTAAATCTTTTATAAACACGTCCGACAAATTTCATATTCACGCATGAGCTATTATTGGTTTAGCTTATCTATCTTTTGACTTTATTCTTCTCATTTATCCTAACGCTAACTAGTATAACTCGATTCTCACGTTTTACTTTTTGGAGCAAGTGATTTTATTGTCCACAATCAATTTTCATCAAATAATTTTGACAAGAAATTTACAATCACAACAATAAACGATCTCATGAATATTGTTAATCGATTATTTAACTCAAAAATATGATCAATGGAAAGCATATTAGCAATTCAAAACTAAGAGACGTCAAAGCGTATATATACAAAGTTAATTAAGTAGGTAAACACATATTTAGATCTTAATTATATCGTCAACCATTGGTTATCATGCATTTTAGTATTATCATGTACACTTGTAAGCACAAAATAGTAGTTTTTTTATTATTTTATTTACTGTTGATTGAAATTAAATACATATGTTAACAAGTGTGTTGTATTTTTTTTTTTGTCATCTGAATTATATTATAAAACCACTGAAAAATACATGATGGAATACATATGCCGGCGGAAAAACGAGATATCCCCAGAGTCGAAGCCCAAAAGAGGGAAACAGAAGCCCTAAGTTACAGGGAAACAAGTGAAAAGGATGAAATTACAATCCACAAAAAGCGAAATGAAACACAGCAGCTGAAACTAAGATCTCAAACGAAAAAGACTTGCCAAAAGATCTCCCTTACTCCCAGATGAACAAAGCCAACCACAGCGGATGAAAAGAATCCGTTAGCAGCTAACGAAACCTCCTATAATGAAGCCAGGGTACCTCTCAAATAAAATAATCCTAGACTTCAAATCCGGCAAGACGGAAGCAAATCACAAAAAGACTCGCAAATCTTCCGGAAGCGGCGTTGTCGAAAACTACGACAATTTGACGCCTCGATAAAAGTCTTTGATTGATAAAAGATATTTATAAAAGATATTTATAAATATAATTGATAAAAAGATATTTATAAAAGATGGAAACAAGTGTGTTGTATATTTTAAGTTATAAAAGATATTTATAAAAAAATTGATAAAAAGATCAAAGATTGCTGCAAAACAAAAAACACAAGATCAAAAAAAAATTGACATGACTGAAAACTTAGTGGTAGTCATTAGTCAATAAAAACAAAAACAAGTAACAATAAAATAAGAAAACCCAACAATGGAGGCTTTGCCACTAAGTTAATTTTGAATTAGGTAAAAGATCTATCGAATCAAAAACCAAAGACACACTCTTTATCCGATCCGACACTTTTTTTAGTCGTATTTCATCATTTTATTAATTAAGCTTTACAGTAAACACATATTCACCTTTTCCAAAAGCTTGATTTGATTTCTTTGTCTATTATTATTCACAACAATCATCTTGTGTTTTCATGTTTCTTATAAAGATGATTCAACAATCTACTATATTTTATTTATAAGCGTTTAAGAAAAAAGAAAACATGGTGAATAAACTACACTCTCTTATTTATAACTATATTTTGTAGAATTTCATGAATCGCGATTAATTATACATATATTATAACACCACATTAACAAAATTAATCATTCCAAGTATAATTATTAACACAAAAAAAAAACTATTCCAAGTGTACGTAGTGCTCAGATTTTGATTGATAATTTAATATTTACCAAATTATATATTTTAGGACATTTATTACTCAAACTCTTAAGTATCATTGTATCAACAATTAACAAACCCATTTTTTACCATATCAGATTTGACATATAATCATTAATACTTTACATTTAGCACAACACTAACAATTTGGTCTTGATCTCCAATCAAAGTGAGATCTTAAAACTCTTTAGCACAAGCTTAACTATAGGTTTAAACCTAACCGTTTTATTGGCTAATTGGTTGACAGAAACCTAATTGGTTACCTTTTTTTCGTTAATAATTGGCATGCCATTTAATTAATATTGCCACAAAACCTACCATCACTTTTTTCACATTCCAGTGCTAGTGAAACCTAATTATCTTTCACTTACCAACTACAAGCACTTCGAAATTAATACTACTAATACGTTACCTAACAATTTGTTTTGGTGTTAATATATATTCCAAAGCAATACTTTAACCAAATTTTGATCATTATAAACTTTTGATTTGTTTCAATCGCAATTTCTGCGCTTATGTGAATAAAAAAAAAACTTTTTAAAGAAAAGTAGATCATAATTAATAAATATAAAATAGTTTTTATTTCTTCAAAAGATAATGAAAATGTATCAAGCGAGAACGCCAAACGCAAAAAATATATTTCAGTTGTGTTCGAAATTTGTGTTTACAAATATTACTCCCTCTTTTTCTAAAAGATTGATTTTCTATCTTTTTTATTTTGTTCCACAAATATTAATTACTAATTTTTTTTTAATTGATTGATATTATTAAATTCTAATCTTCAAGAAGCAATGATTAAAAATAATTAGTTTTATTTAGATTATCATTGGTTCATAGTTATTGGAAAATATTTAATAGTATAAAATTAATGTTAATAAAATTACACATTTCTTATTTTAATATATGTGAAAACTCTAAAAATCATTTGTAGAAATTGAAAAAATATTATTTTTTATGTTAATCGCTTAAAATTGTGATTCATTCCAAACAATATTAAGCTTAAACACAAATAAACAATGGATCCAATCTTTAATTCTCCATAATACTCTCATGTATCAACTTTTATATCCCATTTGATATTAACGAATGAATTAGATGTCGATCCAATCTTCTTCATATAAGAACTATACATTCCAATAAAATAAAAAATACAAAAATTATATGCAAAGATTAAATTTTTTGGCTGCTCCGAATCTAAAAACCAGACAAGATAGTGTCAAAACAATGGCTAAGATCTTTCCACATAACAAACCAGTAAGCACAATCACGATCACAACAATCCCATTCATGTTATCACCATTTGATCTCATCAATGGAAGATTCAACGTTTCTTGGTCTCTCTCGGAGTCAACTTTATTTGGTTTATCTTCTAAAACCAAACTCGAGACTTCAATCAAAGACTCTTCTTTGATCATCATTGTCTTCTTCGTCTTCTTATTATTGTAACTCCTCAACTTCTTCACAATCTTCGATTTTAGTCTCCAACTTTTACTTGTCGATTTCTCGTCCTTTAACAACAGATCACGAATCGTTAAACCTTTCAACTTCGAAACCTCTGTTTCAGCTACTACATGCTCTGTTTCCTTCAGACAAGGAACTCGAGTTTCATCAAAAGTTTCGATTTTTCCGCTGGCAATCGCGTTTTTGTCTTTGCCGTTGTTACAGAGTTTAGAGCGCGTGAACACACGCGCCGCCACGAGCTCTGTTAAGAGAAGAGCGAAAGCGGAGAGAGTGATTCCTATAGTAAGCTTCTTCTTCGTGCTCAAGGCGAGCAACGCCACTATTAAAACCTTAAACGCCATCAAAACCACCTCGCCGTTACCGCCGCAAACGCAAACGCTATTTTTAATCGCGTGCTTCTTCTCCGCCGCTGATTCACCTTTAACGCAATTAACTTTCTCGATCTTACTCCGAACGGTTTTAATCCTCGTGGGCATTTCCAAAACCGCATCTTGATTTGTCAAAGAAGAAGCGTTTGGCGCGGTTTGAATCTGGCGTTCGATTCGTTGGAAGCGTTTAGATGGAGATTTCTTGAGACGATCGCGATTTTTGAAGAAGAGATCGATTAAAGAAGTTGGGAAGCCAGTTTCAACGAACGGCGATTGTTGAAACTCCGACATGAATCTTAAGATTCGACTCGATTTAGGTTTTTTCCATGGTAGAGAAGACATGGCGATTGTACGGTACGGAAGAGATAAAACCCAAAAAAGGAGAGACCTTTGAGTTGTCTTGAGAGAATTAGGGTTAGGGTTTTTGTTAGAAGAGAGATTGATGAAGTTTCTGAGTGACAAGGTCGAAGCAATTTAAATACATAGAAGTGAAGAAGAAGAATCGCAGAAAGTGAAGGTGAAAGATCACTTTTTTTGAGAGTGTGTTTTTAAAAAACACGAGCTAAATGATGAGTAATTGTCGAGAAAACGGAAAGAGAGAAATATAAATTAATTATTATAAAGTTTTAAAGTTAAATCCGAGTTTAAAAGTTGATTAGAAAAGGAAATTTAGCTTTTTTGTTACTTTATATGTTTGAAAATTTGGAAAATTCTTTTGGAAGTTTAAAGGTGTACGTTAAAGATCTATTTATTTATTTTAAAATGATTTAATTTAGAATATTAAGAGTATATAAAAATCTAAATTAGTGACTTTGATCTCATTTAAATGGAATCTATAATAAGCAATTATTATGGGTTGGCATGAGCCTGTAAGCCATTTATTTTACAAAGTTTAATTAGATTATTCGATAAAGGATATCAAAACTAGTTAGTTATATTTTGTAAGTGGGATAAGTTTTTTTCTTAGAACATCAATGTATGAAAAAGAACCCTACCAAAAAAAATGTTTAAAAAAGAAGCAATTGATTTATAACGTTATAAAATTTGTCATTTTTGTTTCGATGGATTTAATAATTTACAAACTGCAATCATTTACTATAGTTTTTTGGATTCGGCATCTAACAACACGCATCATCAACATGACAACATATCCACCTCTCATACCACTAATTAAGGGCTAGTTCTATAGAGGTTATATGGGTGTGGTATCTCAAATCTTTACTTAGAAAAACCATTGCTCACATAAAAGAGTAAAGGGGAAACAATTATCCAAGACGATTAATGATGACATTGATGAGTAAACAATTGGTCAAATGCTAAACCGACGACCAAACCGTAAGAAGAAATAGAATTATAGTAGCAAGAGTAATTGGTTTAACCAATTGTTTCCAAATTCCAATAGAATTGCAGTCATGTATTTGCGTGAGCAGAGGACTGGTTTGCAAGTGAGGATAAACGATTGCGTACAATGCGGTCTAAACTCTTGACTAGGGAACTCGGCTGGACCCAGGGGCGGAGGGAGTGAAGAATTATAGGGCTCAAATGACGCCAGTGGAATTTTGAAAAATATTGAGTTTTTATTAAAAAAAATCATATTGACCACAGTTCAACAAATAAATTGACCCCTATGAATGTTTAGTTCACATACAAGCAAACGGAAGTCCAGTAATTATGTTGAATTATACATATAGAAGCCCAATAATTATATTGAGTTATATATAATATTAGGCCCAACTAAAATTTATCAAAATTAACATAAATATAGAAGCCCAATAATTATAAGCTAACCTAAAATTAAATATATATATATATATATATATATATATATATATATATATATATATATATATATACTGCTAACCTAAATATTTTAACATACTGTCGTTATAGCCTAAAACGATTCCAAGATATGAGTAAGCGTAGAGTTCATCTTTAGGATCTATATTTGTGATGACATTATATATTATGGTTTTAGTAAAGTTTAAACTTTTGGTTCGTTAAATTTTTTTTTACCCCAATGAGTCGTTGTCCTGGCTTCCCCATGTCTTCTTCGATTTCGCTCTCTCCATATAGTATGTATGCAAACTTTCGCACGCCATGTTTCGTGATGAGGTATGTCTTTCAAGTTTCCATTCACGTTTATTTCCCTAAACTCCATGTAATGCACTTTGCTTCCATGCTTGTAGGAAATAGTAGTTCCAATTTCCTTATTAGAAATAGAAAACAAAACAAAAGGAGAGGCATAGAAATTTGATTAAAGAAACTTGTGTTTTTGTGTTCTTATTTATGCTTTGATTGGGACACATCTATCACTTAGTAATAATATCCAACCTAGAGCAAGCATAGCTCTATTACAAAAAACCTGAAGTCCTAATTAAATCACTTGCAAAAGCTTCACATTCTCTACATGTTCTACAAAGGTATAAATATTTGTTCTCTCAGAGGCTTCAATTCCTTGAATTTGAAGTCTTACAATTGTCTTTCTCTTGATATTGCAGTAGAAGACGTAGAAAAAAGGTTCGGTTATTTGACAGCGTGACGCCAACACAATTTCATTTGTCCGAGTCACTCCAACAAAACGTAAGTAAGCACCCTTTCCCAAACTATGCGCCAAAGAAGGGAACACACATGTATGCTTCGACCATTCTTGCTTATCGACATCTTCTAGAACCCACAATTCAATACTATCACTTGTTCTATAAATAAAGCTAGACGTAACTAAAGCTAATTTACCATTGTAGTTTATCAGGGTTTGAAAACCCTTTCTAATGAAAGTTTCCGTACCTTCTTCAATAAATCTCAACTTCTCAGACTTAACATCAAAGCAAACGACCATGTGATCCTCTAAGAACTCAGTGACTGAAGCTGTGAAATACAAAACACCATTAATGCATACATGTCTAGAATAATGGATATGAGGTCTGCAACATTCGATCATTCTCCATGACGGTTCTCCTAATGTCAAAACTTGATACTCCTCAAAACCATCAGACCGTGTCACTGACAATACCTTGTATTGTTTCTCAACCGGATCATACCAAAAATAGCTCATCACCCACTCATTACTCGTATCAACTTTGGGTAAGCTTAAGCATTGTCCCGTGCTAGGGTTACATATCACCAGCACATTTTCTCCCTTTTCCTTCCGCAAATGTTTTAGAAGGATCAAGCCATTGACATGATTACAAATTTCATAGTTATACATATCAAAACGAAAACTCATATGATGATAACTGGCGACTAGAGGAGACGAGTTCTCATTCGGATTTTGAGGTTGAGGTGCCGAGTAAAAGACCAACTTATTTTGTAAGCTGGCGAACAATAGCTGCGGTCGAGCCAAAGCCATGCTGAAGAACAACTCGGTGAAATCTGGACAACGAAGTATGGAACCCCAATGCTTCGATACACATCGACATCTGGCCATAGACTTCCACGGCAACCTCGAGAATATCTCGATCATGATATCAATTGGAATCGACAATGAGTTTTCTCTTTCATTCTCTGAGCTCTTTGGCTGCGTGTTGCGTAAGGTAATAGTTAGATGATCCTTAGAGACGTTTTGCGGCAGTGCTTCCATGGTGGATACACAAAGGTTAAAACCCTAGAGACCCGTTCGTTACAGAGTAAACTAGAGAAGAAACTAGGGTTTCAGAAGAAGAAAAACATACACAATACGTTGGAGGCGGAGATCATTTTTGTTGATTCCATAATATTTGTTTTGGTAAATACGGATAGGCCTTTTAAAATTTTTGAGGGCCCAACTTCTGTTTGATCTGGCCCTTATATTACCACCTACATGATCTGTTTGTAATTTGTAGTAGAATCAAACATGTTTTGATTATGCATATTCGTGTGTTCATATAAATATCCAAATTTTTGTACCTTGGAAGTGGGAACTATGATTTTCCTTCAATATAATTTCAGATCCTCTAATATAAATTTTTATGCATTCTAAAATCAACCTCAAGACTTCAAATTTAAAAGTTTTGATAGTGAAACTTTAAATTTGAGGTTTTTACTATTCAAATTTCCAATTTGAGATTTCGTCTTTTTTTTTTTTCATTTTAGTCCTTACAATTTTATATATATATATATATATATATATATATATATATATATATATATATATATATGTATATCTCATAATCATTTTACTAATTATGTTTATTTAATGAAATATAATGAAATGATGTTTGAAAATTTGGAAAACTCTTTTAGAAACTGAAAGGAGTAAGTTGATGTTGTGCACATCCTGCCAAAAGGACATGCCCATCACTATCTCTTTATTGACCATTATGTGTTTGTATAAGGTCGACCGTGAATAAATCCACAATCGAAATTACATTTGAGCCATCCTTTTGGAGGTGGATGCCATGTACTGCCTCTATCTTTGTTCTAGATCATAGATGATGAAGATTGAAGGCCGTTTCTTGTATGAAAATTAGCTCCGTATGAAAAATGTTGTCCTTTACTTGCTTCAATTTCTGGAAGCCTTTTAATATTTTGGAAGAGGAATTCGTTTCTAGATTTCTAAAGACGCCACACAATCCAGAACGGAAATAAACGTAGATGAAGAGGTAGATCTCGTGTTTTTATTCAGCCGCAACAATGTGCCAATGTTATCTTCCAAGTCGTTTGCAAATCCATTTTGACCCACATGGATATTTATACATATCCAAATAACTTGAGCAAAAGAACAAGTAAAGAGTATATAATTTACTGTTTCTTCGTCTTGGCAGCATTTCTGACAAGTGGGATCATCATGGATTGTTCTTGTTCAGAGTCTTGTTGCCGTAGCAGAATACCGGATAAACCACATGTGTTGATTGTTCTTGCTACGGCAACAAGACTCATAACTTGTCCATCTCCAAATAACTTGTCCATGGATTGTTCTTGTTCTGAGTCTTTGTTGTATGATCTTCGCTAGAGAAATGCTGCTGCATACAAGTTTTCTCAACATGCTTCTTCTAATCAATCATTGTATCAAATCTACTCTCTGTTCCACCTCTATTGAATTCTTGTATCACTCTTATATAATTTAAAGAAAAAATAACAAGCGTTTTAAAATAACAAAAATAAATGAAAAGAGTACGTTAAAAATCTACTAATTTATTTATTTTAAAATATATAATTTAGAATATTAAGAGCACACCAAAATCCAAAGTAGTGACTTTGATCTCATTGATATTGGAATGTACAATATGCAATTTTTTATGGGTTGGCACTTATTCCTGCACAGAAGGTGTTTGATTAAATCCATTTACAAAGTTTACGACAAAGTTTGATGTCCAAAACTAGTTATAGATTTGTTAAGGAAAAAAAGAAGTTTTTCTTACCTCAATCGTCCAA